AGGTGAATTTTACCCCAATCATGAGTGGGTGTCGAGATTATACGGTGCACTCTGATGATTCGAGTCCCGCTGGGGCTGCTGATGAGACCAGTTTAGACAGGGTCGAAACGGCAATCCACTCATGCGTGAAGAAGAACACCTTGTGAGAAGCAAGACTATATGAAATTCAGTGGAGACGTAGGGTCTACTCAATTGATTGTGGGAAAATTCAACTACCAGTCATTCATCATTTTAAAGAAATAGGGCGGATACATCTCATATATATTTATTTATTTATATTTATAATGGCAGTCTCGAAAACTTTCAGATATAGCATCGGCAAATTGCTAATAACAGCCGCAATTTCACTGTAATTTTTCGTTTACAAGTAGCCTCTCGAGACTAACAGTAGATGATATACATGAAATGTACTTATGCTACATAAGTAACGTAGTCGATTGCTATGGTAAACACAACTTTGCTTCATCGACAATCCCAAAACAGAATGAGATATAAAAAATGCCTGACATCCCTTGAAATTCACATCTACTCGTTGACCCAAGGGAAACCGTGGCAATGCGGCGTAGTGGTTAACGTGTCAAGATTATACGCTGCACTGCCACGGTCCGAGTCCTGCTGGGAGTTTTGATAAGAACTATGCGAGGTCGAAACTGCAGTCCGTTCGAGTCTGGATGAGAATACTTTTTGGGAAAGCAAGGCTATGTGAAATTTGACGTAAACGTAAGGTCTATTTACATACATGAATGCATGCATGTATGTATGTATGTATGTATGTATGTATGTATGTATGTATGTATGTATGTATGTATGTATGTATGAATATATGTATAATTGAATGTATCTATGTATAAATGTATGTATGTATGCATGTATGTATGTATGTATGCATGAATGTATGCATGAATGTATGTATGAATTTATGTATGAATGTATGTATGAATGTATGTTTGTAAGTATGAATGTTTGTATGTATGCATAAAAATGAGTAATTGTACCCATATAGACATGCAAACACGCAAAAACAATAATAATAATTACAAGCCCAAGAATGCCCATTGCATATTTGACTAGACTTGATCAGACCTACAGTCCAATTTAGGCAAAGTGTTGAGGCGAAGCTGAATTCCGACATGTACTTTCGACCTGACAGAATGTAGAGACCAGCAGACGTCAGCCGTGGACAGATGATACTAGAAACTGCCTCCATCTGGCTGAATAAGTATGGTTCAGCGTCGTGGGCATGTGCATATGGCGTAGACAGACGTAGGCTGGAGGTGGCCACCTTCGAATGGCCATAACAGCTTGCAGGCCCTTCGGTAGGACAGCAGGACACACCGGTTTAGGTGGGCTTCTTGCAGCATGGATCGTGGGACGGGCCACGACAACTTCTGGAAGAGGCGTGAGCTTTGGGGTGGATTGCCTTCTGTCGGGGGCCACTTCCAAACTGGCCTCCTCGTCCCATCATCAGCCCCAGCGTAATCTACATTTAAGCATGACATGAGCCTGCTTTGTCGTCAGGACAATTAAACTAAGATCGTGTTGCTCAGGCGGATGTACCAGTAAGGCATGAAAAAGTGAAACTGGAAGTATGCAGGCCAGAATGAGGTGACCTTTATTTTGGCCGCAGTTTCATTTGGCCGTTTAAAAGTGATCTGACTTCGTATTCACAACGTCATCGTGTTGTCGGGAGAACCTCAAAGTGTTTGTCTCTTGCCAGTCTCCTCTGGCATAGTCGTTATGATAGCATCGAGCTTCGGAATGCGAACTTGGTACATTCTTCAAAGTCGTGCTTACAACAGGATCATGTCGCAAAAATTAAATTAAATCATTTCTATACAAAAAAAAGTCGACGTCAACTGCAAAAGTGATGGGCATTCTTTCTCTTCAATTCAGCCACAGCAAGCGCACTAGCGGTTCAATCAGATGCCGATAGAAAACGGAATACCTCGACGGCCATTCGGCTTGAGAGGATTTCCAAATAAAACTCAGCTACTGGCTCCAAAAGAAAGTGAATCCTGTGAACTGGGCCATTAGATATGAATTAATATGTGAAGAAAAGTTGGGTTTCGATGACTCTATTGTTTCATAATTGTTGAGCTTACTTA